AATATTTTTCAAACCCAGCCCAACCTATAAAAATTTTATAAAAAAAATTTTCCCAAGCCTGGCCAACCCATAGTAATTTTCAAAATTTTTTCCCAACCTGGGAGATAGGTAAATCTCTAAAAACCATATCTATTTTTTATTCTATTTTAACCCAGCTCACCCCTACTTCAGACAAAGGCCAACCCATTAAGACTGAGAATGAATACTATTTTTATAAAAATATAAGTAAATTAGTTTTTACCTGAGGGCCATATAAATATTCTGTGTTAAATATTACACCTATACAAAAAATTCACAAGCCAGGTCCACGCACTTGAGAAAATTTTTTCAAAAAGACCATAAAAGTCACAATGCATTTAAAAATACAATCAGAATATGAAAGTTGCATGGTCCTCGGTATTTTATCAGGCCTGGCCATGTCTCCAAAAGAAATTTTCAGGCCAATTTCTAACCCATATTTAAAATTAAAAAATTTTCAGTAATCTAAGCATATATTATATTTAAAAAATGTTTCCCAGCTACTTCCAAGTCCATATTAATTGTGAAAAATATTTCCCAAACCCAGTGAAACCCAGAATAATTTATTTTTACCTTGAATCCAGAAAAATAGGTGTGATGTAGGGGTTTATAAGAATTAAATCTGTCTAAAATGTATATAATTTTTTTGCCATTTATATTATTGGGAAAATTTTTCAAAATTTATATGAAAATCATCAATACATATTAAAATACCATGCTAATAATATGTTCATTCTAATTTAAATTTTAAACAAACCACCACCCTTCCAAATGATTTATTACTTAGTTACAAAATATAAATTTAAATTTAAGACTTTGTTATTAAATTACAATAGAAAAAAAAAAAAGATATTCTAAGTTAACAAATAATAGGAGGTTAACTTTAATCATAGTCAAATTATATATAAGTTAAACAAAAAAGTTATACATTTAATCAAAAATGTTAAAATAAGTTATGAAAAATATACATTCTACAATTAAATTATGAAGTTATGAGAAAATAAACAAAACTATGGCATGCATGTAGAAAGGCCAATTTCAGAAAAGATAAGAGAGATGCAAATATTTACTTATGCATAAAAATTACCTAATTAAGAGATATAAAGTTGTATAAAATTCAATGTGGAATTGATCCTTCTTAAGGGTTTTAACATAAAACTCTCATCTTGCAAGAATAAATTTTTAGATTATAAAATACAAATGAATAAAAATTTATTTTAAAAGACTTTTTAATTGTACACATAAATTAAAATTAGTAAATATATACTTTATTAACATATTTTATAAAAATATTGGAAAATTTTAGTATAACCCTAAATAAATATAAATTTTTAAATAACACCTCATAAGATAGAAAAATTTCTGATTCATCCCTCATCAAATAAAAGAGAAAATTTTGATTCCCCATATAATGGTTTAAATTTTAAATTTTAAATTATACATAAATTCAATAATTAAAAAAGTATTTAAATAAATCTCGTACTCTTTGAATCGTATCTATTTGATTAATTTTGTCAGATTAAGAAAAAATAATATTTTACCGGATTAAGAAAAAAAAAATTTGCCGGGATTCGAACCCAAGTCCAATAATCAATCTAGATTTGTAAGCGAAGTTCTTGCCCGATTGGGCCACAGGCATTTTTCAAAACTAACGATTTTTTGAATATATATTATAAAGTGGGACATGAAAAGTGTGGCATGAGAGCGTAACGCTATTTTTGTGACAAGGATTTTATATATATTATAGATATATAGTTACTTAACCATCTTCAAAACTTTTTTTATCCACCGATAGTAATCCCCGGTAATTTAACTAATTTCAGGCGCGTAACCAATGGGGGAGGGAAGGGGGAAATTTCACCCCTCATAGCAAATTTGACTGTTTTTCTAAATATTATTTTAAGATAATAAAAAAATTTACCCCGACCCCCGGACCCCCTCTCCCCTGCTCCATCAAAATTTTTCAATATCAAGCAGAGTTTATCTTTACTGCTAGTTGCATTAATAAATTATTTTCCTATAGCTCACTACTATGTAGAAATTTACAAAAACCAAATTTCGATTTGGTTCAAGTTATTGATTTGGAGGAAAATGTGGACAGGAAGAATGAATGTAGTTGAATATTTCATAATATTTATATAGACGCTGAATCAAACTAAATCTTATAAAATATCCAATTTCATTCCATTCTTAGATACTTTTTTATCGCAAATTAAAGTACGGTTTTTAGATAAAAAACAAGTCCTTTGGTAATCTTCAAATTTTATTACCTAAAGACCCTTCTTCGTTTTCTGATGCCATTATTGGTATAATTAAATATTTAGCAAAATTTTATTCCTATGATGTGAAATTAATTTAATCAGTGAATTCGAATTGTGGTATAAATATTTACTACGTTTATTATTTTACCTGAGCATGCTATTGATGCGCTCAATCGGTATAAGGAGGCTTAATTTCCAAATATTTTGAAGGTATTTAATATTCTTGCATGTTTGCCTATTACAACATATACGAATGAAAGGACCTTTTTCAAATTGAGAAGGTTGAAAACTTATTTGCAAAATACTACTTCTCGGCTAAATGGGTTAGCTATGTTAAATATCCACAGAGATTTATTTCCAACGACAAAGAAAATTCTTGATGAATTGGAAAAATTCCCACGAAAATTAAAAATCGCATTATAATTCTAGTATTTAATAAATTTATATAATATTGTATTTAATAAGTTATAAAAACTTGTTCTTTAAAAAATTTCTAGTCAAAATTTTATACACACTACAATTATTATTTTCAATCATAAAAATTTTATATTTATATTATATGAGAATTTAAGCTTAGGCTAGTTTTTAAAGCAAATTTTATAAAAAAAAAAATTGACACTAAACTTTATTTCAATTTTATATTTTTAAAAAAAATTTATCTATAATATACCTAACTTAAAATAAAAATTGGGTTATAACTTTTATTTCTTCTTATATTCATAAGCGCGAATTAGTAATCAGGAGACCCAAAAGAAAGCGACTACTTACGTCAACGCATAGGAATTCAGATTATAAAATCTAATTTTACACGCCATAGGTTCATTCCCCGAGGAGCCGATTAATCTAGATTTTCTTCTTCTTCCCTAAATTATTTAAACCCCCCCCCTTCTTCTTCATATAATCATTTGCATTTATTATATTTCTATTATATCTATTATTATACTTTGTATTATGAAGTCCTTGTTTGTTAAATTTCTTGAATTTTCTAGAATTATGTTTTGGACATGATTTTATTTTTTTACTATCATTTTGTCAGATTTAATTTGTATTTATTAATAAATGTTAAATTTAAAAATTAAAAAAAAAATTTCTTAAATAATTAATTTATAAAAGGAACCAAAATTCAAATAAAAGTTAAAAATATTAATATAATTATTATTGAATTATGAATAATTTAAAAGAATAGATCAAAGATATGACCCGGCCGAAGGTGAGGAAAAAGCTGGCCAAAGGGGGTTTGGAGGCAAAGCCCCCAAAAAAATTCCCCCCCCCCTATAAGAAAATCCTGGATACGCCACTGACTAATTTAATTACAAGTTGTAATTAAGTTAAATTTTTTTTATAAATTACAAGTGTTTTATTTTAATTATTTTTGTAAAGAAAATAATTTTATATGGATGGGATAACATGTTTCATTAAATCATCACAAAGAAGGGGATGCTAGCGTTGCCTGTTTGTATATAGAAAATAAAATGTTTTTTTTATTCTTTAACTTTAAAAAAAAAATTTATTCTGTATAAATACCCCTCACTCTCCCCGTAGTGGCGCCGCTATTTTATATATGAATAAAAATAATCGTAAGAGGAAAATAATTCCCCGGAAAAAAAAGAAAACATGATAAATTTTATAGAAATAGAATATAATTCTACGTTACGATTTCTGGGGAAAATCGAATAAATAGTGAATGTGAAGGGTGGAACAATCGATTTCAGCATATTATAGGCCACAAAAACTTAAAATATGGGAACTAATTGAAAAGATGAGGATGGATATAGCCGTCGACATGGGCAAAATCAGCCAATGGAGTATTGGGACATACACTCCCAAAAAAAATCGTAGTTACCATACAAAACAAAATATTTTGAAAAATTTATGTATTGATTTTTTAGAAGAGAGAAGAGACTTACCTAATTTTCTCTCTTCATTTGGAAAACAAACTTTCTAAAATTGTTTCATTTGAATAATATAACTTATTTTTCTATATATCATTTAATAAAATTATAATTATTTCTTATCTGTAAATTTTAAAAAAAATTCATAAGAAAAATAATAATTGTAAGATTTCAAATATATAATATTCATTGCTAATAATCACCTCTGAAATAGATGTTTTTTGAATAAAATTCAAGGTAACGACATTAGTAATTACGTTACTTTTTTCACATTACTTTACAGCACAAATTAATATATGAAAATTTATATTTATAATTGCTATTTAAATTTGTTTAGATTAGGTCTGTTACTCTAACATATTTATTTAAATTGTAAGCTCTATATTTTTTGAAAGAGGCAGATTTTATAATTTTTATTCGAATCATACTTAAGGTTGAACATCTGTCGGTTTTCGGCTTAATTTATTAACCTATTTAATTAAAACCTATGATTGACCAAGACATATAAAAGTCTAATAATTAATTAATCGATTGTTTTAAGTTAAAAAATTGAAATCGATTATTTGAATAAAATAATGATTATTTTTAGATTCTACATTTCTTTTATCAATAATCTCCTTCTATATATTTATTTAGATAGACATGATACAAAAAATATGAATAATAAAGTTTTATTTTAATATATAATTTTCAAAAATTCTGAATTTAAATGGCAATAAAATTTAAAAAGCTACAAATATCAATAAAATATATTTAATTAGTAATAATATGGACAGATTCTATTCTCTATAACATATTGAAAAAAACTACATAGCATATACTATGCAGACAAATTTATGATGATATTTAGATATTTATTTGAATATAATAAATTACGTTTTTTTTGGGAAATAATAAAATTATATGGCTGTTCTACATATGAGAATTGAATGTTATTAACTGATATTGGTAAAGTTACAGAGCTATCTGCTGCAATGGAGATATCGATTACAACTTCTTCATCTATAACTTTCATCCAAAAATGGTAAAACAAGGAGATCATCCTCTCAGTCTTCTTGTGCATGATTTATCAAAGAAGGCACAACAATCTCTTCATTTCTTCCCAATGATGCTTAAGGAAAATATAAAAAATTTTGAACTATTTATAATAAAATTTAAAAGAAATATATTAATAAAATTTTGATTAACTATAATAAAATTTAAAAGATAATATATTAATAAAATTTTGATTAACTATTTATAATAAAATTTAAAAGAAAATATATTAATAAAATTTTGATTAACTATAATAAAATTTAAAAGATAATATATTAACAAAATTTTGATTAACTATTTATAATAAAATTTAAAAGAAAATATATTAACAAAATTTTGATTAACTATTTATAATAAAATTTAAAAGAAAATATATTAACAAAATTTTGATTAACTATTTATAATAAAATTTAAAGAAAATATATTAACAAAATTTTGATTAACTATTTATAATAAAATTTAAAAGATAATATTTCATATTATTTTGTAAAATACTTCCTCTTCTTGCAGTCAAATACTTGCAAATATCTAGAAAATAATAAATCACATCAATAAAACTAATTACCATTGCCTTTAAGGTTCAGAAAAATATTTGCTAATACTAAGTTGAGAATATTGCTAATATTGTTCTTTATTTTACAATTTTCTAGAAAAATATATATGTAAATATTAATTATGTAAAATATTTCAATTAAAACAATTACTTTTGCCTTTAAGGTGTTGAGAATATTGCTAATATTGTTCTTTTACAATTTTCTAGAAAAATATATATTTAAATCTTATCTTATCTTATCTTGCACGTTGGTCATAGACCTGCCCAAAATGAGCAAACTTGAATTTTATGAAGGCCCACCCTTCATAAAATTATGCCGATTTTTTTCTCAAGGATACCAACAAACCTTGTACCCCGTTGTAGTTTAACTAAATGAGTGGAACTTATCCTTTCCGATATTGTAATTGTAATTTAATTAATAATATAAAGACATATATTTCTTATTTGTTTTTTTAATCTTGAATAGTTATATTCATGATAAGGAATGAGTTAAGAATATTAGAATCCATAGACATCAAAATTCCATTTCATTTGTTAGGTTATATTCTTCCAAAAGATGAACCGGAAAATCTTCGCCATTTGGGATGATGTAAAATATTTTAATGATAAATTTGAGAAAAATAAATTTGCCATTTGACGCTAAATAGTTTGATGACAAAAGAAAGATAAATGAATCGGACTGATAAAAATAATTCGGAAATTTTTGAAGCTTGACATGAAACAATTCATTAAACTAAATAACAATAAAAGTTCCATTAAAAAGCTGTTTCGCATCAAGAAGTTACCTCTAATAAGAATAAAATACATCTCAGAATTCAATGTTCACTATTATTATCTAATAATCCCTATCTTATATTTCCTATCGTAATAAATTTCAAAAATTTAAACTCATTATTATCAAATATTTCCAATATCAACAAACATTCAAATCCTCTTATAAGTATTCTTTTGCATTTCCTTACTAAAAATTGTTCTAATATAGTAAAGATTTTTAATTTATAATTGTCCTCAACCCACCGTAATGTAATTAACTTTCACTGAAGTTCTAGGGTATAGGCTCTTTTTTGTCCCATTCCCTTTTAAATAAGCCTATAGAGGTTTAATGTTTTTCGAAATGTTGCGCCTACAAGTACGTGCGGCTTGCCCACAAACGTGTGGAGGGCTCCTCATATTTTGACTTTTATACCCAAATTAAATTAGTTCCTATAAGATGGAAATGAGACCTAGCGTAGCTCTGTTTCATTTCAACACTAGAGGGCATAAGCGCTATATATCACGTATCACGTAAAGATAAACATGTGATAGATTTTTTATAAATGGAAATTAAAAAATGTGTCCAAAATATTTTTTATATTTTGTAAAACTTTTATAACTTCAACGTTAGTTATCTTTAAAATTTTAAAATTTTTCAAGATTTAAAAATTTTGAAACAAATTTAGAAAGCAACCAAAAAGCATTTTTTTTTTAAAAAATTGTATAATTGTTAAGGCTAGCCACCTTGTGGATTATAATATAAATTTAAGTTTTTAATATATTTAGTATTTTTACAGATAAAATAATTCTTTAAAAAATTAAATTTATATAAATATTTTTTGTAAAATTATAATAAGTGAATAATAAAAAAAAATTCGTTATTTAAAATAATACATTAGACATAATTTAATTGCTATAAATTATCCCTTGATTTATTAACATTTATGTTTATATAGTAGCATTTTCATGAAATCTTAATCATAAAAGTGCCCAAATATAATTAAAAAAAATTTAATTAAAAAAACCAGAAACCGAACCTGAATCGAACCGTAATAGCTAAAAACCGGTATTTTTTATCAAACCTAAACCTCTAAAAAAATTCTAGCCTAACCTGAACAGAACCTCTAAAATGCCTCTGAATGGGTTCGAGTCTCATAATTTTATGCTTATAAAATAATGTGTAAGTTATTACTTGTAGTATATTGCAAAAATTTTAATTATATTCAAATTGTTTTAAAGATTATTTCAATCACATTTGATTGATAAACGTCAGTCATAATTTTTATAAACTTTAGTATATTGCCATTTTACAACATTTTTTTAAATATTTTAAGCTTATAAATTATAATGCCTAGATTATTTACATATAGTATTATAAATGACACATCAAATGTGATATCATACTGGCAGTGCCAGTTACCAAAGTTAGTGTGGAAAGATGTTTTTCAACAATTAAATTTATATTATCTCCTTATAGATGTAATTTGAGTGAGACGAATTTTGAAAATATATTAATTGTGCGGCTTAATAAAAAAATTTTAAATAATTGTTCATATTAAAATTATTCATTGATATATTTATTTGTTATATTTATAAATTATATATTATTTTATAATGTGCAATTAATAAAAATGAAGATTTTTATTTTAATTATGAAATAAAAAAAAAATTCCTTATACATAATCCTAAAGTAGGTTTGAATAAAAAAGTGTTCAAACCGGTTTTTAGAGGTTCGAACCGAACCGATATTTTTATTTTTTGCGAACCGAACCTGAACCTTAAACCGTTATTTTTATCCGAATCTGAACCGAACCGATATTCGTTTCGGTTTGGATCCCTAAAAAACTAGATTTAAGGGAATATTGTTATGTATAATATATTGTGATTCTGAATCTTTCAATTTTTGATCATTTGTTGAGAGCAATTTTTAAAATCTTATTTGACCGAAATGCATTCCAACATTTACAGAGTAACCACATCCTAAATTTTAAATTTTGTACAAAACTGTTGAAATTATATTTAATTTATATCCGTTTTATAATATGAGTTCTTTAATATAAATATGAGAAAAAATACAAAAACGTTTATGGCGATAATTATCTGAATTTTATCAGGGTAGATAGTCTTAACATACTAAAAATTTCCGGTAAGATCAGATTTAAAAACGGCCCTCAAGTAATTTGATGTAAATTTGCAAGATTCCGAAATTCCATATATTCCATATCCCAATACGACACATATAATTACTTACAAATTTAATAATATTATGCCTTTCCCCGATAGGGTTGATTTAAAGTTACATGTAAAACAGTTGAGTTTGTTATATAAATGTTTAGTCTCTAAGTTTAAAACAAACCTGGGAAAAATAATAATAATTTAGACTAGAAACTTGCCGGCAAAGCTAGTGATACAAATGCGTCCAATCTTCAGTAGAGATCCATTTTTAAATTTTATTGTAAGAGAATTATCTGAGTTCAATGATATAATAATATTTAAAATTATAATTAAGATGTTAGTTTCCCCTGAATATGTTTGTAACCAAAAAATATTTTTGAACCGAAATCGAAAAAAATACATCTAATATAGAATCGCAATCTAATCCTAAGTTCAATGATAAAATAATATTTGAAGATAGCCTTTTCCGCTTGAATGACAAAAAAAATAAATTTTCGAACCGAAAACGAAAAATAACACATCTAAGCATTTTTGGATTCTCAATTTAATTATGAGTTCAATGATTATATAATATTTGAAATTATGTTTAAGAGTTTCGCCTTATTGTATTTGGGACAAAAAATAAAATTCCGTACCGAATGAGAAAAAAAATACTAAGCATTTTTGGATTCACATTACAGTGATATAATATAATATAATTTAAAATTATATTTAAAATGTTAGCCTTTTCTATGAAACTATAAGCGACAAAAAAATAATTTTTTGGACCGATGACGAGAAATAATGCATCACAGCTTAGCTATATTCATCGTTTGATTCTTATTCCAGTAATATCAATTTATATAAAATCATAACCAAAAATTTAATTTGAAAAAATGAATATAAAAAAATTAAATTAGAACTGCTAATTATCAAGGAATAAAAATAAAATTTTTGATAAATATCTTAAAATTTCTCTTATTATATTATAATAAAAAAAAATCTTTTTCTTATTAATCATCTTTTTTCTTATTTTTATTTTTAATATTATTTTTTAGCCTCTCGTAGTATGTAGCCCTTTCCTAGACTTTCGAAAGTATTGTTATTTCCGGTAAAATATTTTTATTTTTTACTGCCTGCAAATTAGGATAGGTTAGGCAACTCATAGGAAGAAATCCTATTATTTTCATCACTAAGTATTTGTTTTTCCTTAAATGTTGGTGGATAACACTACTGATGTTGGATTTTATATATTTTATATTTGTAATAAAATTATCATGAGCTGCATATAGGCTTACCGGGCATACTCTTCATTATAGATGTTAAAAACATGCCCAATATCTATTTTAATTTTCTATTAATATTTCCTCTTTTTTAAAATAATTCCGATTTAAATATTTTTTAAAACAAAAAAAATTTTCCACTATCGGGTCAATCACTCGTATTTTGATCATAAAAATTATATCTTTCTTTATATTATGGTTTAGAAAATATTTCAAAAACATATTATTTCCATTTCAACAAATACAAGCATTCATGAAATCTAAAAATATTTCACATTTTGATTCAGTGTTATAATAAAGAAACCTGCATCAATGTTACAATTATATATTTACAATCGCTTAGCTATAAATGAAACGTTAGATACGTTAATTATATATAATCAGTTATGGACAAAAATAATCTAACATCTAAACTGTTAGCCTTTTCTGGAGCCAATTGTAATATAAATTTTGGTTAAGACAACAAGCTTTAGATAATGTCATCTACAAATTAAAAAAATCCGGATTAAAGTATAAATCGAAGTGGGTTGTAGTGTTGTTAATTTGCTTGGTCGTAAAATTTACGAGCCTTTTATATGCTCATGCCGACCCGGAGTTCAGACCCACCTATGGATTACACCTGGGGCTCAGATAAATGAAAAGTAAGAAAAAATAAATCTCATTTTTCTAATCTTAAATTAAATATTATACATTCGAAATTAATAAAGCTTTTAATCTCATTTTCTTACCATTTAAATATTTGTTTAAATTTGGGGTCTTTTGATTAAAATGTTTTCCGGCCCGAACCATAATTATTTTTTAAAAAAATTTGCCGGCAAGGTCAGAATCTATTTAAATATAATTAATTTTTATTTTACTTTCTTTTAACTATATATATTTTTTTTTATAAACAAATCCCCTACATAATTTCCGATTACAGTGAAGTGAAACGAGTAATATTGATATTATTTTTTTTAAATATACAATATAAGGAGTAAAATAAAAATTTTAAATTTTATTTTTATAAATAATATAATTAAATATGGACAAAAAATAAAAATTAAATGTCATGCATGTAAATAATAAAAAGAAATTATATTGTAAATTTATAATTTGTGATGAAAAATGGCAAAGTACCATCATGATGCGTTTTTTTTATATTTTTGAAGTTGTTTATTAATTATGATTTTTTTAGTTATCTACTTAGAAAATTTTTTTAAGAAAATAAAAATTTTTAAATTAAAATTAAGTAAGTATTTTTATATTTTCGAAGTTTGTTTATTAATTATTATTATTTTAGTTATTTATTTACATAATTTTTTAAGAAAATAATCATTTTAAAAATATAATAATTAATTTTTCTATATTTTTGAGGTTAAGTTTATTATTTTATTTTTTTAGTTATTTACTTAGATAATTTTTTTAAGAAAATAATAATTTTATAATTAAAATTAAGTATGTTTTTTTATATTTTTGAAGTTGTTTATTAATTATTATTTTTTTAAAATTACTTAGATAATTATTTTTAAGAAAATAATAATTTTAAAATTAAAACTAATTATTTTTAAAAAATTTTGAAATTAAGTTTATTATTCTATTTTTTTATAAAAAGTGTAAATTAAAGATTTTATAAGGTCCGTAAAGTTGGCCCCTCACTTTTGGATTTTATAGTTTATCAGTTAGACTCATTTGTGCCGTTTTCAGTTCGATTTGTACCATCACCAAATCAAAGAACAAAATGGGGGGCCAACTTAACGACAGCCCTCCAACTTTTGAATTTAAAAATAAAAAGTGTATAAGTTGATAGGAAATGATTTGTACAGTTTTCAGTTTGATTTGTACCATTACCTTTTTTCCAGCGATTGACCGTTAAAAATATGGCACCAAAAATAAAAAACACTCAAATTTTTTTTTTAAATTTAACGTACAACGATAGAGAATTTTTTCGCTTCCTAATGATGCCTCAAATTAAGTTTCATCTCCAATATTTATTTCGGAAATCAAATTTTAAACCAGTTAGCCCCTCGATATTCAAATTTTTAAAACGGGATTGATTTGTGCCTGATTTGTACCGATTTCTACCGTTTCAAACTCGATTTGTACCATTACCGTTTTCCAGCTATTGACCGTTAAAAATATGGCGCCAAAAATAAAAAACACTCAAATTTTTTTTTTAAATTTAACGTACAACGATAGAGAATTTTTTCGCTTCCTAATGATGCCTCAAATTAAGTTTTATCTCCAATATTTATTTCGGAAATCAAATTTTAAACCTTATATTATAGCTTAAAATTAGCCCCCCGATATTCAAATTTTGACATTTTTCAAATTTTTAAAACGGGATGGATTTGTGCCTGATTTGTACCGATTTCTACCGTTTCAAACTCGATTTGTACCATTACCGTTTTCCAGCTATTGACCGTTAAAAATATGGCGCCAAAAATAAAAAACACTCAAATTTTTTTAAAAATTTCTTAACGTACAACGATAGAGAATCAAATTAAGTTTTATCTAAAAATATACACACATTTGTAACCCGGGTCTGAATCCCAGGTCTGGACCCCGGAGCTGAACCCCGAGTCTGGACTCCGGGTCTGAACCTTGGGTCTGAACTCCGGGTCTGTGCTCGGGGTCTAACAACACTAGTGGGTTTATCTGTCTATATATTGCATAATGACATTCAGTTTGGATTTTAAGATCTACAAATAGATTTGGAAGGTTTTGTTATGAAAGTCTACAATTACTTTTCAACATATACTGTCAGCACTGAAGAGCTTAAAGAGTTTTGTAAATTCGTTGAGAATGGTTATAAACAACTTCATTATCACTGAAAAACAATACGGCTTTTTCCTTTTATCCAATGATTTTTTAAAATGTATGAAGCATTAAAATCATACAAAATACTTTGCAATTGTCCGCTCAAATTACTTGTTCAAATAACTTAATTTACCACGGTGAATATTTTAGCACAATCTTCAACCAATTATTATAAAATTAAAATATACAAATATTGTCCAAAATCTTTTATGAATTTACCATATAAAATAATAAATACATAAATTTAATGACCCAATTATACTGATATGTTTTATATTAAATATAGACAATACGTCATATATGATTATATTTGTAATTTAATCAATCTAAAATTATATAGACTTGTCCCTTTTTAGCTGTCTAGTACAATTAGCATCATTTGAGTATTCGGTAAAACATCTGTTTTTACGCTTTATAAAAAAAAATCTTATGTTATTTTATGCTTCTGATATAAACTAAATAAAATTTAATAATCATAATAAAAATTAAGACTAACTATAAAAAAATAATTTTAGATAATTAACTAATGACTAATAATTTGTATTGGATGATACAGTACTACTATTTTTTCCTTTTAAATATGCTCATAATCTTATTCCCTACGCTATTATTATTATTGGATTGGGTGAGTTCCACTCCTCTTAATAATTATACCTGGGTTACAAGGTTTGTTGGTATCCTTGAGGAAAAAATCGGCATAATTATTATGGAGGATAGGGCCTCTATAGTAATTCACGTTCGCTCATTTTGGGCAGGTCCATGACCAACGTTCTAGATAAGATAAGAAGATTTAAACATTTCCTATGATACTTTTTACCATATTTGTATCTATTAAATGTTTATGGTATTCTTTTTACCACTAAAGCAAATTAAGGTTATATTTATTTTTTTGAGAATTTTAATTATCATGATATATAATTCCCTAATTTATATATATTTATGGCCATATATATTATTGGGTTAATTTATTTTATACAATGATTAAATAACTTTTTATCCAACCTAATCTACATGCTATCATTTCTTTAAAATAAAGCTTGATAAACCTTTGGTCAGAAAACATCTATCATACATCTCCAAAAACAATAAATATGTTCCTCATTCTGAACCACTTGGGAAAAACTCAGTTAATAAATTATTGACATTTTTTGATCAAAACAAAAACCAAAAGTTAATGACCTTAACAGGAGCAGGGATTTCAACTGAGAGTGATATCCCTGACTACAGATCTCCTAAAACTGGAGTTTATGAAAAAAGTAATAACCTCAAAATTAGATTACCAGTTACATTTCAAGAATTTTATCATGATCCTTTTTTCAGGAAAAAATTTTGGGCCAGGCATTACTTAGGCTACATGATATATAATTCTAAAAATCCAAATATAAGTCATAAAGTTTTGGCTAGATGGAGAAAAATTGACCTTTTAAAATTTTTGATAACACAAAATGTGGATGATCTCCACCAAAAAGCTGGGATGGATGAAGAAAGCATGATACAACTTCATGGCAACTTTCAAAGAGTTATCTGTTTAAAATGCGGTTCCCAATATTCACGCAAAATTTTGCAAGAACAATAATTTTTAATTTTATCTAAATCCTCTGATGCATACACACACACAACTGAAAATGATGCTGAAAGATTTATTGCTCCATCCTGTACTCATTGTGGAAGTGATTACTTGAAACCTGAAGTTGTTTTCATAGGTGAAAATGTCAAGCCTCAAGTCATACAAAAAGTTGATGCCTGGATTAAGGAATCTGATTATCTACTAGTTTTGGGATCATCTTTGACTGTGAGTTGCATAAAAATATTAGTCTAAATATTTAACAACAGTTCTGATCTGTAAAAATTTATGGTCCTCTATTATTCCAGACGTCACATTTTAAGCTGGGCTAAAGCCATGCAGATTTCTCTGCATAATATATCCAGGGTTGTCAATATTTTATAATGCATGGCATCAGTGCTGCTAAAAAGTAGAAAAATAAATCAATCTTAGTTGGAGGATTTAATTATAAAAAAAAATTAATTTGGTTTCATTGGTTTAATGAAATTCAAATAATATAGATTTTTATGATTAAATTCTAAAACAAATAATAATTAGGTATATTTTTTTTACTAACAACATTCATTCTCTTAGAATTTAGAGGGTTTTCCATTGTTTTTGAACAGAAATTCGTGATGCACAAAAAATGTTAACACCCCTATTTTTACTATTCTTATGAACAAAGTTCATTTTTATAGAGAGAATTTACTTATAAATTTATTTAATAGAATTAAAAAACTTGGTACCTTTCAAATAAAATTTAATAATGTTTTGTATTTTATGTTGAAAAATAATATCTCATCTCCCTCTATAATTTTACCTAGATGAATTGCCTTATATTTGTTGGAAAGTATTCAAGGATAAAAATACAAATTCTAAAGGTAGGTGTTTATAAGAATTATTTATGTAATTTTTTTTATTATTTAAAAAAAAACAATCATTAGGTCTTAACAGTTTAAAATATGAAAACATAAATTTATGAAGCCTTATATGAATTTTTTTCTAATAATTAAGATTTAAAATTTTTTAAATGAAAGAAAAAATAAAATTGTCCAAATTACTAAATATAAGGATATGGGAAAAATGTTACAAACTTTTTAAAATTTAATTAAAAAATTTATCAAAATTCAATATCAGAATCATAAGTCAGATTATCTAATTTAGCAATGATAAGCATTGACAAGAATATAATAGTTAATTTAATATGACATCTAAATGAACCTGAATATTTTTTCTTAAATGTCCAAATTATTGATATACACTTTTATAATGAATTATTTTTTGTTAATTTGGTATAAAATTTATCTAAACGACGTTAATTTATTATAAAATTTATCTAAAACTAAGAATGATACTCTAAAAATAAATATAAAATAAGGTATATATATATATATATATGTATTATAAAAAAACAATTTAAACGAAATATATATTTTAAAGCTATAATAACAATTTAAGTTAAATAAAAAATCAATCGATCAACATTTCCCTTCTTCTGAAAAGCCTTCCCACAATCCATCTGAGCTGTCATAGCAAGCTTGTCGTCCAAATGATTTATCATTTTGATTGTCAAGTTGTTGCATGTCGTCTTAATCGTTGGCTTGTTTAAATCATAAGCTTCATATCTCAGTGGTTATCATTATCAATTTTTAAAAATTGTTATTATCATTATTTGTTATTAAATATATATGAAGATTTTGAATGATTTTAGAATGTAGATATTATTGGATAACGATGTTATAGAATAAGATTCATCGAGTAAACGAAATAGAATTAATTTAATGAATAACGAATTTGATTAAGAATAATTGAATCAGAATAAATTTATCAAATATTGAATAGAAATAAAATAAATAATTGGTCGCGTTTTATTTTATATTATATATATTTTGCGTTTAAGATAATAGCGTTTTACGTTTCTCAATATATTGAATATTTGGAATGAAATAAAAAATTGGTCGCGTTTTATATATTTTTTTTAAAAGAATCAATATTATATTATGTATTTTTTTAATAAAAGATGATATGTACGTCTGTACATCCATCTCTCTCTTCAGAAATTTAAACTTTATGCTCTTATTTTTTAATTTAAAAAGTATTTTGAAATAATAATTATTCATAAGATTGTTTTTAGTAAAAAATAATTTTTTGAGCCTTAAATTTTTAGAAAAAGATCTCTTCATCACATCCTTGAGTATTATTCTAGAAAGAAGACGTTTAGTTTTTATATGACTTCTCTTAGTGATACTATTAATTGTCTTCAAATTTATAAGTGTTAATTTTTTTTTATCGCATTTAGTAAGAGTTTTTTTAATTTTATTATTTTCTTTAATCTTTATTTCATTGTTTTCTTTAATGTTTATTTCTTTTTTTTTAATCACGAATATTTCAAATTTTATTATATAATTTATCTCTTTTAGTTTATAAGAATCTCCTTTATTTTGAATATTTGGTTTTAATTCAATATTTTTCAATTTTTCGTTACTAAGAGATTTATAATTTCTTTTCTCTAATTTATTTTTCTCATCATGGGATTCACAGTTATGACATCTAAAGTTAAAATTTCTGTAGTCTCTACAATTACAATTTTCATAATATCTAAATTATTATTGTTGCAATTTTTATTATAATTAATATCATATCTTTTAACAAAGTTTCGTCCAAAGTTGTTTTTAAAATGCTCATTAGATTTATAATCATAATTTCTTTTGTTATAATTAATATTTCTATTATTATTATAAAAACCTATGTCATTAGTATTATAATTTTTTTTAGACTGAATTTTGTCAATATAAAATCCATAATGATATGGGAATTGAATTAAATACGGCCTATTTACGTAATATTTTTTAATTGTAGCTAAGAATTTATCTTTAGGCAATTTAGTTAATTCCCACATTTGGTCATAATCCCAGAAATCAAAAATACGAAAAATATCAATGGGTAGGTCATTAAGAAATTTAACTGTTAATTCATAATTAAGTAAATATTTTCTAAGGTTATCTAAGTATTCATATATGTCCATTATGACTGATTTATATTTAATTTATTAAGTTATATTGGAATTTTATAATAACTTTCCTTTTTTTTTTACTTGGATATAGAATATTTTATAAATCGTCATTGGTTTTACTTCATAGAATTCATAACCTATTGTCTAACTATCATTTTGGTTCTTGTAAGTTCATATACCCAATTTTAGTAATCATTTCCATTTATAACAACTCCATATCCATGATAGATTCGTCTAGTTTATATTAAGTTTAGTAATTCTTTTTCCCAGTTGAATCATCCGTGTCATAATTTTGTGTGTGTCATTTATCGGCATATGCACAATATATATGAGATTTTTTTATATATCATTGTGAGTTATCATTCCGGGGCACCATGGGGCACCATGTTAATTTGGTATAAAATTTATCTAAACCCTCCATATCCATGATAGATTCGTCTAGTTTATATTAAGTTTAGTAATTCTCCTTCCCAGTTGAATCATCCGTGTCATAATTTTGTGTGTGTCATTTATCGGCATATGCACAATATATATGAGATTTTTTTATATATCATTGTGAGTTATCATTCCGGGGCACCATGTTAATTTGGTATAAAATTTATCTAAACCCTCCATATCCATGATAGATTCGTCTAGTTTATATTAAGTTTAGTAATTCTCCTTCCCAGTTGAATCATCCGTGTCATAATTTTGTGTGTGTCATTTATCGGCATATGCACAATATATATGAGATTTTTTTATATATCATTGTGAGTTATCATTCCGGGGCACCATGGGGCACCATGTTAATTTGGTATAAAATTTATCTAAACCCTCCATATCCATGATAGATTCGTCTAGTTTATATTAAGTTTAGTAATTCTCCTTCCCAGTTGAATCATCCGTGTCATAATTTTGTGTGTGTCATTTATCGGCATATGCACAATATATATGAGATTTTTTTATATATCATTGTGAGTTATCATTCCGGGGCACCATGGGGCACCATGTTAATTTGGTATAAAATTTATCTAAACCCTCCATATCCATGATAGATTCGTCTAGTTTATATTAAGTTTAGTAATTCTCCTTCCCAGTTGAATTATCCGTGTCATAATTTTGTGTGTGTCATTTATCGGCATATGCACAATATATATGAGATTTTTTTATATATCATTGTGAGTTATCATTCCGGGGCACCATGGGGCACCATGTTAATTTGGTATAAAATTTATCTAAACCTGTTAATTTATTATAAAATTTATCTAAAACTAAGAATGATACTCTAAAAATAAATATAAAATAAGGTATATATATTGTATTATAAAAAAACAATTTAAACGAAATATATATTTTAAAGCTATAATAACAATTTAAGTTAAATAAAAAATCAATCGATCAACATTTTTATTTATAGTTTTTATACATTTTTATAATATTGTATTTACAATTATTTCCTTTCAATAAAGTTAAAACCTTATAATTAAAATGTATCTATGGGAAACAATAATTTATACAGAGTCTCATGTATTTTCCTTGAGGGAGCCCGATATTCTGTATACCTCTGATCAATAGAAATATTAAGTATTTTGAAGACCGCAAGTGAATGGTGTCATAAAGATTTTTATGTGATTTCGGGTGATAATTATTTTGAAAAGAATAAAAAATTATTTTATTCAGATTTTATCTTAATCTCGATTAATTTCCAAAAAATATATGGTCATCCATGCAAAATAATACAGTATTTTTGTATAAATAAAATATTATTTTGTTTTTTATTGATAATCAAGAGATCATTAAATTTGTATTAACATTTTTAAAAATTATTTTTGTCTATGATTTTCCAATTGAAAGAGATTACAATGCTCTCATAATGCGAGTTTTGTTCGAAAACAATGGAAAACCTATATTCTGATCTTTTTTAATGTATCTATTTAGAATTATTTTCATTTCTTTCACTTTATTTTTTAAAGTTATAGTTTCTTAGAAAACTGCAAATTTTATCATTCAAGGCAGACTGATTAAAATTCGATTTTTTTTTCACTAAAATTAGGGTGTGCTCTGAAATGGGTCTCATTTTTAAAAAATGTTTACCTCTTGCTACATAGAAACAGTGAAAAATGAGAATCTTTAATCTGAATCTCATTACAATCTGCTTAAGTTCAACAGCTTTAATACTCTTGAAGGATAATTTGAATTTAAAGATCTATTTTATTATCCAAATTATTATTTTCTAAGATGAAATACTTTTTAAAATAATATATGTATAGTTGTTATGTTTCAAATCAATCCTAGATGTATTCTTCTTATCGAATCGTTTCCACATTTTATCAATCCCAAAAACCGATCGCGATCATTAATATAGGAGGTACGAGAGCCGACAATTTAGCAAACGTTAAAATTGATGCTCGATTAGGGGAGATATTGCCTGCAGTTGATGAGAAGATTATTAATTAATATTATAAAATATAGTAATACGAGTATACCTTTCAAGGACCACGACAAGGCAACATATTAGTGTAGGATATTATTTTAATAAACGATGATTTATTTTATATAAAAATGTTTCTTTGAATATTTATTTTTAGCTTTAAATCCTAATATATTTATAATTTTTTTTAATAATAATTGATCAATTATAAATTTTAGCATCCTTATCTTAAAAGTTATATAAGATAATTGTTTTTGTTATTTATTTTTAAATCTAACTTCTCTTTTTTTAAAAAAAACACATATTGGCTGACATTTCATAAAAAGTTTATATTATAGAAATTTTTATAGTGATATTGAAATTGATGTATTTTTGAAAAGCTAAAAGACATTGTATGTATAATTAAATAAATAGCCAAAAAGTGGTATAAAAATCCTGGCTAGATCATTTTATAAACTAAATTAATTTAAACGGGAACATTTAATATTCATTTTCTACTCATATTTTCAATTGCTTGTAAAATTTAAAAAAAACTGTTGAACATATTATTTTGTTAAAAATTTACAGCAACTATAAAACTAATAAAGAGGAACAAAATGAAAATATTTCTTATTAGAAATGACAAAATACTTTTAATTTTATTAAGGTTCGCTTTTCAAGGTTCGACAAGATCCCGATTTTCCCTACAGCTAAAATTATTTAGATTAACGAGATTATCCGGGCTATTGTAATGCATTATTTTTTTTTCTTTCAAATTCAGGTTGGGCCTAAATCCTAACCACTTCAGACCTCTAAAATGAATATATTAAAGCCAACAGAAGGAGTGGATACTGAGGAATATGGAAAATCTTCAGAGAGATAGTTGGCAGAGGTAACCCCCTCTTTGTAATTAGCAGTTATTTTTACCTAGCGATTTGATTAAATGAAAACCCATCGCCGAAGATTTCTAAAATATTGGTGGCAAAAATTGTTTTAGCGCGAAATTTTTTTTTGAAAACTTCCTAGATGTAAAATATTTTATGTAAGCCCCGATAATTTTTCTGCCCAGGGCCATGCAAACCTCTATAACTGGCTGAAGATTTACTAATTTAGTTTATAATTTAAGAAATATCAGCAGTTATTTTCACTCTCGGGCTAATATGAGTTTTCTCTAACTCTAAACTTTGGTCCTTGTTTTGGTACAAATGTTTTTTTAATTTATTTGCGTGGTTGCCATGGGTATATAATTGAATATTAGTTTGTTTTAAAAAAACACAGAATCGCTAGTAATATTAATTTAAAAACGTTCATTTTTATTTTATATCTATAACTACATGTAAAACATTATACCAAAATAAATTATGATATGAACAATACCGACTCTTAACAGCAATTTTGGCTAATCGAATATTTAGTAAACGATCAGTTTTGAGTTTGGCAATCGGTCTTAAATTATATTTTGGAATAATACTTTACACCTAGATATACGCCTATAAAACAAAAATGAAGATTTTCCATGGATAACGCCAGCAAACAGTATTTAGCCAGCTGATTATGAGTAGGTTACCGGTTAAATCACAATATTTTAAAAATAATTTTAGGGATTATGCTTCGCAAGTAATTATAGCGACATACAACAAAGACGAACATCACCAGCAATGGAGTATTTAGTCATCAGCCGGTTTTGAGTCGGAAATCAGTCAAATCACTATATTTTAGAAATATTTTTTGGGATGATGTTTTTCACGTAAATATAAAAATTGATCACAAAAATAAATAGATTTCAATCAATAACACCAACAATATGCCTTACAAATTTGCGGTTATTTTTCGATTCTAAACTTACTTAAAAATTAATTTAATTTTTAGGTTTTCTACATGTATCTACACCCAAATATAAAAAAAGCGCTGATTAATCCTTCGACTTTCCTTATATGTAAATTTCATATGTATGCAATTAACGTTCTCTTTTGGAGATATATTTAATAAATTTTAAAATTGAAAGAAAAAATTTGAGTTGTAACAAGCTAGTAAATATATTTTTATTTTACTGATTAAATAAAAATAGATTTATTTATTAATAGATATTTAATTTCTAATTTTATTTAATAAAAAATTGATTATAAAGATTAAATATAAAAATAAATTATGGTTAATAGTTTTTTAGCCATAGGCGTAGCCAAGGGGGGGGGGCAAGGGGAAATCCCCCCCCCTTCAGATTTATGACTTTTTGTGAATAAGCTAATAAAAAATATCCCCCTTAGTCCTCCCCCCACTCCCTGACCCCCAAAAATGTATGCACATATCTTAAACAATAATTTGAAGAAAGAATGTAAAAGTAGATATTTTTTTATAAAACTATTCATCATAATTTATACATTTTTGGAAAAAAGCATTTATAAATAAAAAAGTGAACCAAAAATGTTTTTTAAGAAATGGAATATAAGCCAAAGATAAGTCTTAAGACAAAAGTGAAATGTATTATAATTATTATAAATATAATTTTTTATAAAGTGAGTAATTTTAATTTATTTATTTTAATAAAAGTAAAATATAATTATAAAACTATTGATAAAATTAAATAAAAAAATTAAAACATAATACAAACAGTGGAATATTATATGTCGTAGTAACTAATTTTATCAATTATCATATGGCAATCAAATAATTTTTACCAATATAGCGAATTATATATTTTACAGAAAACTGTAAAATATTGATAAGGACATCAAAAAATATCTTTTAAAGACATTGTGGATTTAAAAAAATAGATGGCGTTAAATAATTGAATGCAAATTGTTGCCATATTTATTATCAAGAGAATTGATTAGTAAATTTTATTAAAATTTTAACTGTAATATAATCTCTAACTGTCAAATATGTCTGTAAAAGTGGAATTTTACTTAGTATTTTGTAACATGTCTACTTACTTTTTATAAATAAATTTCTTATACTTGTTTGGAATAAATTATTACCATGCTTTTATATTAATGTACATAAAAGTAATTTCTTATATTTTATAGAAACTAATAAAAATGTATTTCATATTTTTTCCAGGCTTATTTTTTTTTATTAAAAATAACCTCCTCTCTTGTAAAAATATTTTATGACTATATATAGACCAAAGTAACCAGGCCGAAGGCCCGCCCAAATGGGGTCTGGGGGCTTCGCCCCAGAAATTTTTTAATTCCCCCCCCCTTAGGAAAATCCTGGCTACGCCTATGTTTTTATCAATGCAGTATTAGGCATACTGATAATTCATTCAAGTTTAATGAGTTATAAAATAATAAATATCATCTATATTTTTATTTTTTTCATAAAATTAAAAGTTTTTATGTTTACTATTAAGGTATGCGAGATTTTACAAAATTTCTGGAGAAGATACCTATATTTTTTATATATAATAAAAACTTGGAAACCTTCCTGACCTTGTCTAATGTCTATTAACATTGTTGATTAATTATTTGCTAGATAATGTTGCAATAAAAATATCTTTTAATACTCATATTGAATATATGTAATAAAAAAGTTAAAATTATTCCTACCCCTAAGATCTAAACCAGTTTATTTAGAGCCATACGTTGCTCCAAAATATTTTTTCATGATCATTAATTTTAGTAACCATATTTAACATATTTTTTACCCCCCCCCCCCCCATGTCTTACTCATGCACCATATTAAGGTAGAGCTAGGCTAGAGTGAATCTGAATACTATTATAGTATGTTAATCAAAAGATATTTAATTTATCTGTTATTTAATACCCATCTTCATATCATTATTTGGTGCTGTTTAAATTACTCCTGACCCCTTTAGTAATAGCTTCACCCATCAAGAGGAGGCGTTTGGCTTGTTCCCTATTTTATATGTCTTTTAATTAGGTATCGAAATCGATTGATACCTCTATTAACCATATACACAAGGTCAAAAACAAACAATTTAAAATATATGGGACTGTGCCCCCAGTTCGTGCTCATAGCAGGCCTGAGTACCAAATTGGGTTATAAATTTTAAGACTGTGTTGTTAAATGGATCGATCAATTTGTGCCGGTTTTAAAACAGCTAACTCAATATAATGTTCAAAAAAATATTACACACGCTTCGTGATTTTGTCCATAGATAGTATCGCACAAAGGTTTGGCCACCTATTAGCGAAATATCGAGGCTTATCCAATATTTTAGCTTAGGCATCTATATTTGATTCCAATATTTATATAGGATAAAGTAAATATAAACAATATTTGTACATTTAGGCAAAACAAAATGATTGGTTAAAAAATGTGATAAATTTAAATTATTTGGATATTTTCATTTGATTTTAATTCTGAATTAAAACTAATCGAGTTCACAACAAAAATCGAGAGTTATACAGAAAACAGGGTTTTTTTCAAAATATTAGCTAGGCGAGTCCTGTTTTAATATGTAAATGGTATGCCGGATAAACTGTAAATAAACTTCTTTAATTAAACAAATTACAATTAACAAAAATTAAATTTTATTAAAGCTATCAAAAAAAAGGCTATATATGAACAAATAACATTTTTTTTATACAAAATTTAATATATTTAAAAAATCAATTATCCTTCATTCGAATTAATATTGTTAATGATTTAATCCCATATATATATTTATCCTTTTTCTTTTTTTTCGTCTTTATTATTCAAATTTTATCAACAATCACGACTTTCCCATATTTTATTTACTAAAATAAAATGAAATGAAAAAAATTAATGATAATTTTTAATTAAGGTAATTATGAACTACTAGTCCTCGAGTTCACGAGTCGAGTTATGAATTAAGTTAGTCTACTAAATCGACTACCTACTTTGAGTAGGAGTCGAATGAATCCGAATATTTAATAACACTATCCCATGTGATAATATGAATACATTAGTATTTATTCAATCCTAAACTAAATAGCAGAAAAATTGCGTCCGCCTCGGGGTTATATGCATTTAATTTATAACAGATTTTTATGTGAATTATATTTAAAATTTATATTTGATTAGTTTACAGATTATTTTAAGGATTACTAATCGTCAATTTTTTTTTAGTCACCTAGTCCTGATATATTTACGAAATTTAAAACGTTCAATAATAACTTTATAATAGATTATAATCCCTCCCCCCCCCACCCCCTTACACTTTTAAAATATATTTCTGTCTATGCGCCGGGGTTTATACATCTATAAAATATTATTCTAGAATATGCCAAAATCAGACTTTTAAATAAGTCAGTTTGATGATTTAGAACAAACTATAACGGACCAATATAATATCTGGCGTATGAACAAATTATATGATTTATTTTTTGAAAAAAATAATCGCATTTCATGAGCGACTCGATAATTTAAATCTCATTAATCAGTTCACCCGGTATACTAACCTGTCGGATTTGTGTTCGGCAATCGGTCAAATAACAATATTTTTAAAATATTTTTTGGAATAATACTTTACGTATAAATATAGATAAATATAACAAAAAGGAACATTTTTAATCAATATTACTAGCTATTTTGCACAATATAATATTTAGTGAGCGGTCGGTTTTGAGTTCGACAATCGGTCAAATAGCAATGTTTTTTGGAATAATGCTATACGAGTAA